GTTTGGATAGGGGTTTGTCAAACTTGTTGATTTTCTCCAAGAACCAGCTTTTTGTTTCATTGATTCTTTGGATTGTTTTCTGTGTTTCTATTTTGTTGATTTCAGCCCTCAGTTTGATTATTTCCAGTCTTCTACTCTTCCTGGGTGAATCAGCTTCTTTTTTTCCTAGTGCTTTCAAGGGTGCTGTTAAGTCTCCAATGTGTGCTTTCTCCGTTTTCTTTAATTGGGCACTTAGTGCTATGAACTTTCCTCTTAGCACTGCTTTCATAGTGTCCCATAGGTTTGAGTATGTTGTGTCTTTGTTTTCATTAAATTCAAGGAAGACTTTAATTTCTTTCTTAATTTCGTCCCTGACCCAGGGGTGATTTAGTAGTTGACTGTTCAACTTCCATGAGTTTGTTGCCTTCTGGGGGTAGCATTGTTGTTGAATTCTAACTTTCATCCATGGTGGTCTGACAAGACACAGGTGGTTACTAATATTTTTTTGTATCTGTGGAAGCTTGCTTTGTTATCAAGTATGTGGTCAATTTTTGAGAAGGTTACATGGGCTGCAGAGAAGAAGGTATATTCTTTCCTATTTGGGTGGAATGTTCTATAGATATCTGTTAAGTCCATTTAATTCAATACCTCCAATAATTCTCTTATTTCTCTGTTGGGTTTCTGTCTAATTGATCTGTCCATTGGTGAGAGAGGTGTGTTGAAGTCTCCTACTATTAGTGTGTGTGGTTTGATGACTGCCTTGAGTTCTAGAAGTGTTTCTTTTACATAAGTGGGTGCCTTTATATTAGGGGCATAGATATTCAGGATTGAGACTTCCTCCTGATGAATTGTTCCTGTTATGAGTATGAAATGTCCATCTCTATCTCTTCTGATAGATTTTAGTTTGAAGTCAATTTTGTTAGATATTAGAATGGCCACACCTGCTTGTTTCTTAGCTCCGTTTGCTTGGAAAACCTTTTCCCAGCCCTTTACTCGGAGTAGATGTGTCTTTGTGGTTGAGGTGTGTTTCTTGTAAACAGCAGAATGTTGGATCCTGTTTTCGTATCCAATCTCTAAGTCTGTGCCTTTTTATAGGTGAATTGAGTTCATTGATATTAAGTGATATTAATGACCAGTGGTTGTTGACTCCGGTTATTTTTTTTTTGGGGGGGGGGGTAGTAGAGTGTATGTTTTTCCCTTCTTTGAGTTGTGCTTGTGAAGGGTCACTAGATGTCTGAGTTATTGTAGGCGGTGTTGGGAATGTTGGATTCCTTGGGTTGTGATTTGCCTTCTAATACTTTCTGTAAGCACTGCAGCAGGGATAGCTGGTATTCCCAGGACCCAGGAGACAAAAGGGCGGCAGCAGTGGGGACAGGGAGGGGTCCCATGGAACACCGAAGACCCTGCCGCAGAAGCTCTATAAGGATATTTTTAAATTATGATACAATAAGTTGTAAATTTCTGGAAATATTTGCACAGTGATTGCAACAGGGAATTAAGACAAGTGTTAAACTCTTAATCTCTTACATGTGCTTGGTGTGGATGATGAAAACAGCAAAACTCAGGATCCAGGATTTCCTTAAAGATGGAAACCTAAGCTATAATGCATTATCCTCTTCATATATATAATAAAAAATATATAATAAAAAATTTGTGCTCTGTTACACATCAGCTCCCCAAAAATTTAAAATACTTGTTTAAAGGTAACTCAGAGACAACAAATTATAGAGTTGCAGCAGCCTATATTTATTAACTTGTCAAAAATAGATATATACTCGTAATTTATTAAAAATGGTTATATATTTTTTGTTCAGTGATGAGAACTGAGTCCAGGCTTCATACCTATACTTGCTCTTTATACCAATAAGATAATTGCTCTACTGATGTGAAAATTGCTAGGCCCTTGCCTACTCTAAAAATACTTTTTTTTCAAAATTTGTCAAGATAATAATCTTTACATTATAAACGTAATATATGTGAATTCCAGAGATCTAGAACCTTACTTCCTTGACCTCTGGTACAATCAAAATCAGCCCAAATATCACTAACAAATTAAAATCTCTTTTGGTAAATTAATTGTTCTTATGACTGATAAGGACCTAATATAAATATCCTTCGATGGCAAATGAAAGAGTTACATATATCTCTATGGCCAAATTTAGCTTTTGAGTAAAGTTTGACCCACACCTACACTGCATTCTAAATGTCTACTTGGGGGAAAGTTGTAGAAAACCAGAACATATTTATATACAGATAAAATCTACAAATTCTCTGAACCCACGTACAAATAACACGGCAATGTTTCATTGCCCTCAATGAGACTCTACTGAGCATGTGCAATGCTTAGATAGATTCGTTATACAAAAGATCTTAGATATTTATGACAATTGTAAGACCACACTCCAGCCGGGCCGTAGTGGCACACGGCTTTATTCCCAGCACTCGGGAGGCAGAGGCAGGTGGATTTCTGTGAGTTCAAGGCCAGCCTGGTTTACAAGAGCTAGTTCCAGGCCAGGCTCCAAAGCTACAGAGAAACCCTGTCTCAAAAACACGAAAAGAAGAAAGAAAGAAGGGAGGGAGGGAGGGAGGGAGGGAGGGAGGGAGGGAGGAGAAGAGACAGTGTAGAAAAGGAAGGAGAAGAGAGGCACAAGGGAGGGGGAAAGGATGGGGAAGGGAACGTGGAGGAGAGAGGAAAGGAAAAGCAGGGAGAAGGGAGTGGCAAATTTTAGATCCATGCTTCTAAAGATTTTTTCCCCAAGTATTTTTACTGCTAAAAGCACAAAACAATAAAGCCAAGAAGATTCTGTGCATTGGGGTCCAGCTACAGATGAATGAGAAGCAGAGTGCCCTCTGCTTATCTGCAGATGTAGCAAACAGATTCTTAATATAGACTTTGAGAAGATTTATCAACCTTAAACAATATTAGGCTCACACTAAATTCAAACATTTTCTGTAAACTTTTGAACTTATTTCTTTAGAAATCTAAATGATGCAGCGTGTCTGGATGGCTTTCCTGCTTGACACTGCTCAGGGGAAGCCATCAGAGGCTTTTCACAGGGGTCTGTGCCCCCAGACTGCAGACTTCTACTTGTTTCTGTCAGCTCTTCTTTCGTCTATTTTTGTTATTTAAATTTCCTGTCCGAGTCCTTGAAGTTTTGCACCCCCATCTATGAGTAACCACATAGAAGTAACTTGGAGCCAATACAAAAATTATATGGCAGCATGAATGTACTCTCCATCACAAATCATATTGAGATATTTGATGCTAACTATTACCAATCCAGAGTATCCAATTTATGGTTTTGGTGTACATGTACTAATACTGCTGTAATGGTACATGTATATGTGAAGGATTGTTCAAGATTTGACTTCATAGTCTTGTATAAGTATTTAGAAACAGTGCACCATACAAGCTATGGAGCCACACAGCTCTCACTTAAACAATATTGGTTATTTAATGGTGGCTATGGCACATCCTTTGATCTCTGCCCCGGTTAGGGCTACTATTGTTGTAATGAAACAATATGGCCCAAAGCAACTTGAAGAGTAAAGGATTTAGCTTACAAACTAAAGACTTTGAATCACAGTCCATTGAAGGAAGACAAGACAGGAACTCAAAGCCTATAGGAACCTGGAGCCAGAAGCTGATGCAGAGATCTTGGAGGGGTGCTGCTTACTGGCTTGCTCTTTATGGTTTGCTCAGCCTGCTTTCTTATATCACCAGAACCACAAGACCAGGATGGCAGCACCCACAATGGACTGATCAGTAGTTAATAAAATGCCCTACAGTCTTGTTTACAGACCAATTTCTGGAGGCAATTCCTCAACTGAGGTTCGCTTCTCTGAGGTGATTCTAGCTTGTGTCGAGCTAACATAAAAACTAGTCATCACAATCACACAACAAATATATTCCAATTTTTATCGTTTTCTCATTCAAATTGGAATAATATTAATAACTACTTGGGATAGTAAATGATAAAGTTGAAGCCTGTAGAGTTCTGAAGAAAAATAAAATAGAATGTAGTCAGCATAGGGTTATTTCTTTTCTTTTATATAAGAAGAGAAGGCACTCATTGCATACTAAATTAGTACAACATATCCATCAACTATTGCTAAAATAGCTCATTTAGCTTCCACAGTAGATTTGTATGCAAGCATCTATAGATTGCAGTTGACAAAATAGACAGGGAGAGTGTCAGTAAGAATCCTGTGCAATTACACATTCTAATATGTTTTACCTCAGAGTACCAGTTGCAAGAATAAATTATCAGCTAAGGTTGGAAAATTCTGAACAGTGCATGTTTTTTCTGCTGGGTATTCCTTCCTAATGAAATCAAGCACAACAAAAATTTCCCTCCCGTTGTCCTTGTCTTAGTGACTGTTCTCGTGCTGTGAAGAGACACCGTGACCCAGGCAACTATTATATGAGAAAGCATTTAACTGGGGGTTTGTTTACAGTTTCAGAGGTTTAGTCAATTTAGTCATAGTGGAAAACACGACAGCATGCAGGCAGACGCTGGAACAGGAACTAAGAGGCACATCCTAATCCATAGCAGTGAAAGACAGGCAGGCAGGAAGAGGACAGACAAGACTGACTGACTGACTGTGGGTCTAGCATGCCCACCACCAGTGACATACTTCCTCCCACAAGACCACACCTCCTAATCCTTGTAATCCTTCAAACAGTCCCACTGCCTGGTGAGTAAGCATTCAAATATGAGCTTGAAAAGATCATTCTTATTCAAACCACCATAGTCCTCATAAACAGAGTTTTAAAAAGCAGACTCAAAGCCAAAATAATGAAATCCTCTTAGCATCTAATTTCTAGGTCCATAGCAAGTACTCTCAGCAGTGGTTTATTCCTAATGCCAGTAAAGAAATATGTGATTTAACAAAAATAATAAATCTGGCAATGAGTTAAAAACAAGAAACAAATTCTATAGATAACAGGGAACAGACAATATTAATACTTAGAAATTTCCGTGATCAGGACTTAAATACATTCTGTTTTCACTTTTCAGGTATCAGTGGTCAATCAACTGGATATGCAGGTCATTGTCTCCAATGTACCGCCTACGTTAGTGGAGAAGAAGATCGAAGACCTCACAGAGTAATGGATTTTGCTTCTTTATAGATCTATCTCCCTAGAGCTGTCATCTTGGTTTGACTGAGACATTTAAATGATTACAATATTCAGATGGAGTAAAGCTTTAAAAACACTTTCTTCGTGCTAATTTTGCTTATTCTTTTCCCAGGCTGCAGAGTTTCGTGGGAAGTAGGTAAAGGTTCTGGAAATACCTTCAAGTAACAGTAGACATTAGACTGAGGATAGCCCAGGGTTCAAATGCTCTGCTGCAGCAACAAAACTTCAGAGTACAGCATGAGCAATTCTCAGACACGTGATTTGACTATGGGCCTTGGAATGGCCATCCAAGATCATCCAAAAAATTCAAAATTGCAGTCCCATGCAATGTACACAAAGTGTTCTTTTTCAAAATCATCTATCCACTGATTTAACTCATCCTTTTATTTTAAAAAATGGTCTTTTATAAAGTCATTGTTGATTAACTATTTGGTGGTTTGTTCTCCATTGTTCCATGAGGCCAGAGAAAGATTTGCGTTCAGTGGTCTGATTTGATCCCCCAATGAAGAGGTGATGAGTGACAAACATAAATCCTTCAGTGCTAGCAAACACTTACCACCCATTGTAGACAACCAAAGTATAGAAGGAATAGCCTTTAGGTCAAGCATAACTGAAGTCTATTCTGCTGTGCTGTGGGTCATGTGCTAACAGTGCCAAATGTTCCGGTTCCTGTGTTAGAAGCTCTATTTCTGTTGACCATTGACTGTTTCGTTACTTCTGTAGAATGTTGACTGTATCACTGTAAGGCTGCACCTTTGGGATATTTTAGATGTGTGGGTCCTTGACCCTCTACCTCATTTTTCACCACACTTCAGGACCCATGTGGGGGGTCACTGGATCTCTTGGTCCCTTTCCCACAGGACTACACTGAATAAATCTCCACTTTCTGCTTTCTACTTTAAATAAATAAATTGTTAAAGGTGGCATTAGCTTATCGGTTTATGTGCTCTGCCTCCTTAAGATTAGTTAGGTATTGACTTCATCTGTCATTTTTGACTTATCTATATTTATTGTGTGTGATAGCCTGTACCTCAGGCTAGCCTTGAACTTTTTGTTTGTTTGTTTGTTTTTTGAGAGAGTTTTTTTTTTCAGTGTAGCCTTAGTTGTCTTGAAACTCACTCTGTAAACCAGGCTGGCCTCGAACTCACAGAGATCTGCCTGTCTTACCTCCTGAGGGCTAGGGTTAAAGGTATGTGCCACCACTGCCCAGCTAGTCTTGAACTCTTGATGCGCCTACTTCAGCTTCCTAGGTATTAGGTTGTATTCTGTGCCCCACACCTGTCTTACTATTACTTATTAATTCTCTAGTCTTTAGTATTCTGATGATGGCAAGGACTATCAAACTACAGTTGTCCTTTGTGCCTGGTGCCACTCTCTACTGTTTACACGCAGCATGTGATGTTTCTGCCTTCTGTTGGGTTCAGGAGGATCAGTGTCAACTCTTGCTATAAATACAACGCTCTCTATGAAAAATAGCCCTTGTTCTAAATGCAGAGAAAAGTCTTCAGATAATCTGGTAGTTTATTTTCAACAATTAAACACTGAATGGAACATAGTATAGCCTGGCTAGCACATCCATGTTCCCCTGTGTACTTTGTAGGTATTTCTTCAGATTTGGTGCTTTGAACATTTAATACTATATAAATGTCGCAGGAGGCATATAGCATCACAAGGCACAGACAGAGTGGAACTTTTTGCTTACCTCTGCAGTTCATGTACAGCTAACCTCCATGAAAATCTTAGCTGCTTTTATTTCACACCTAGGTACATGCTTTCTCATAGTACCAGCTGTAAAAGGTGATGCCCTATTCCCCAGCTAGCTGTTTAGTCTGTTCGATTTTTTCAAAGTGTACTCTAATGCTTTTAGCATTCATCAGCTTCTCTTTAGATTATAATCCAATGAAAGCATTAACGTGGTTTAATGCCGTCATCAGTTCAATTTTATAGGAGGCGTTTGATGCATTTTTATTGAGCGGACACTTAACCCAAACACAATCATTGTGCCCTTTGCTTTATATTGAAACAAAGTGTATTACACAGAAATTAAAAGAAACAAGACAGAAGGATAATTTCATAAGCACTGATAAGATTTAACAGCGTAAGTGAACCTGATGTCATGAATGAGGAATTCTAAGATCCTGCGATACATATATTATTGCAAAGGAAACTTCGATACTAAGACATTTCACCTGAAACAGTGTTTCTCAGCCTGAGTTCTAACATTTGTTGAGAAGAGCTAGTAATGCTTGCACGACTGATCTTGAGAGAACCAAATTATATAAGGTGATAAAAATCACGAGCACCCAGTGAGAGATGATTCGTCTATGTAAATTGGTCTAGTAGACGAAGTCAACTGGTTCCAATGAAGAGAGGCCAGGCAGGCTATTGTAGTCCTTTAAGGCAGCAAAGCTTTGTAACAGAGAGGAGCTTATTAATTCAGGTGGAAGTGTTTGAATACTGTTAGAGTTGCGTGGCCTCTGGCAGCACAGTAATACTTGAAGCTGTTCTTTCTCATCTTCAAAAGGGAATGAAAACATCTTGTTGACCCTGATAGAGTTATACATTCTTTGACAAGGCAGATGCATATGTGCCTGGTTTCCTTTTGTCTCCATTGTGTGTGTGTGTGTGTGTGTGTGTGTGGGTGGGTGGGTGTGTGTGTGTGTGCATCTGTGTGCATCTGTGTGTGTGCATCTGTGTGTAAAACAGATTTCACCATTTTAAGTTCATAGTGTTATATTTTTAAATAGACTTACATTATTATTAAACATATGCCATAACTTCCTCAACTTATAGAAAAGATTCCACATCAATCAATCCATCACATGGCAGTCCTCCCATACCTTTATCCTCTGGCCCTAGCATCCACATTCTGCTCCTAACAGTGTGAATCTGGCTTTTTAATTGATGCTGTAGAGTGAAACCATACATTTCACCTTTTGTGACTGGCTTACTTGACTTGGCCTAACATCCTCCCGATTCACCTATTTTGACATGGGACCATACCTACTGTGATTCCGCTATTTGGACGTTTTGGTTTTTTATTTTTATTTGGTTTTTTTTTAACAAAAGTAATTTTCCCCTGTTATGGGAACCATTTCTAATTGTCTGGCTTCTACCTTTTCACACATATATTAAAAATTATAAGCCAAGATCCACATATAATAAAGAACATGTGGCTTTTGTCTCTCAGGGCCTGAATTATCTCATTTTACAATTGTGTGTGTGTGTGTGTGTGTGTGTGTGTGTGTGTGTGTGTGTGTACCTGTATATAATTCTATTGTACTTTACAGTAAAATGAAATTCTACTGAGTATGTGCACTGCCTTTTTCACTGTCCATCCAATATTTGGTGGACACCTAGGCTGACTCCACTCCCTGGGCATTGTGTATAGAACAGCTGTACTCACGGCTGAACGTGTCTCTCGCAGTAAACGCCTCAGAGGAGAATTGCTGCGTTTGCAGAGCAGGTTCATACTTAGCTTTTGGAGAAATCTCCGCAGAGATGCCCACAATGGCTTCCCCACATCACATCCACCAGCAATAGGTCAGGATTCTTTTTTATCCACACCCAGGACAACACCTGTTGTCATTTTTTTTCTTGATGATACCCTTGTGAGAGAGGCAAAGTAGACTCTCAGAGTATTGATACCAAGCATTCCCCTGATGGCTAACAAGGCTGAGCGCCCCTAAAACATTTATTGGTCATTTGTACCTTCCTAATTGAAGACCTTCCTCTTTCAAAAAGTCTCTACAGTGCCGCAGCCCACTTTTTATTTAGGTTGTTTGTTCTTAGTGTTTAGTCTTTTTTTTTAGTTTGTTTTATATTCTAGATATTAATGCCCTACGAGATGAGTAGCTGGCAGTCTATAGGCTGCCTCTTCCCTTTTCTACCTGTTTCCTTTACTATACAAATACTCTCAGTCTTCTGATGTCCTATTTGTCATCAATGGCTTTACTTCCTGAGTTCCTAGAATCTTATTTAGGAAATCTTTACCTATTCTTGTATCTTTTTAAAAAAAAAAATTATTTAAAAGGTTTTTTTTTTTCATTTTACATACCGACCACAGTTCCACCTCCTTCTCCTCCTCCTGTTTCCCTCCCATGCCTTTTCCTACCCAACCCCCCATCCACTCCTCAGAAAAGGTAAGTCCTCACACGGGGAGTCAACAAAGTCTGGCACATCAAGGCAAGGCAGAACCAAGCCCCTCCCCGCTGTGCTGCTGAGTGGGGTTTCCCTCCATAGGCGATGGACCCCATCCAGAAAGCCAGTTTCTTGTCCTGTCTTCCCCTACTTTTTTTTGCCTCTATCCCTTTTAGGGTTTCATTATGTTGCACACTTTGGTCCATTTGGAGTTTATCTTCGTGCAAGGTGTGAATCAAGGGCTGGCTTTCATTCTTTTATATGTGGATAGCCAGTGTTCTCAGCCCTGTTTGTCCATTCTCCAGTGAGTATTCTTTACATCTTTGTAAAAAAATAAAGAAAGAAAGAATCAAGTGATTGTAGCTGTATGGGTTTCTCTCTGGGTCTTTGTTTTATTCCATGGATCTGCCTGCCCACTTTTGTGCCAGTGTTATTTATTTTTAGCACTGTGGCTCATCAGTGTAACTCAAAATAAGGACGGAAATCCCTCTAGCATCATGCTTTCTACTCAGGGGTGCTTTGGCCTTCTGAAGTCTGGCGTATTTCCAAATGAATTTTAAGATATTTCTGTTTATGTCTGTGGAAATAATTTTATGTTTTGATTGAGATTATATTGAATTTATAGAAAGTTTTCAGGGGACACTGCTTTTTCCAATATTTTTTCTTCCTAGAGTCTAAGCACATGAAAGATCTTTCCATCTTCCAAAGCAGTGGTTCTCAACCTTCCTAATGCTGCAACCATCTAATAAAATTCCTCATGTGGTGGTGACTCCAACCATAAAATTATTTTCATTGCTACTTCATAACTGTAATTTTGCTACTGTTGT